ACAAATAAACTCTTATTTTTTCTATGTTTACCACTGCTTCCCTAGTATACTTATGTGTGTCTAATACATGTTAAGTAGTCAATGCCTATCTAACAGAGCAATGCCTTAAATTTTATTTTAGAAAATAATATTCACAACATAGTTAAGTAGAAAAAGCAAATTATAAAACAGTATTTTGTGATTTTCTGTTCTTTTAACATATAGATGGGCAAATTAGGCTATAAACAAAGTATTAATTTTTGCTCAGTTGAATTTTCTAATTTATCTGCAACAAGCTAGTTTTGCTTTAGAAATATTTCTAAATTCTTTACACTCAAAATAGTATCAGTGTCTTGTCCTTATACCCATCAATGCTCTAATCCTTTCAGTAGTTTATTTCACAAGCTGGCTTAAGAGAAAAGGCAATAATATGAACTACTAACATGAATTTAATATGCTGATTTCCTAAGGAATTCCACAATTTTAAAATGCAATAGTTCAGGCACTCTCCCTCCCAGGAGCACACCCGTGCCTTTCTCTTACCCCTCTTCTTCCCCCTCCCTCACAGGCAAACATCTCCTAAGGGACCCACCAAGGCTTGTGACCAGGGGAGCAATGGCAGCAGCAGCTCATCCCTAACCACCCAAACCTATCCCCAAGGTCCCATTTTTTATGATTTCTTAGTGAGGCAAAGCAGCTGGTTTTAGGTTTATTTCCCCACATATTCTCTTTCCTGTTGCTTCTTGTTTTAGGCCCTTCATTGTTTCATTATCCTAGCTTTAATAAATATCCTCTAAAAATCACTAAATAAGTAAATAAATAAATAAAAATAAAATGCAGTAATCTAACTTTATATGTATATTTTTGAACAATATATTTGTAGATAATGAGAGACATTTTTTTAAGTTAAAAATAAGGAAGGGGGGCCTGGCCCTTGTGGCTCAGTTGGTTGGATTGTTGTCCTGTATACTAAGGGATTGTGGGTTCAATTCCCGGCCAGGCACATACCTGGGTTGTGGGTTTGATCCCCCCCACTGGCTCCAGTAGGGAAGCAACCTATTGATGTGTCTTTCACATCAATGTTTCTCTCTCTCTCTGCCTCCCCCTTCTTCCCTTCCTTCCATTCCTCGAAAAAAAAAAAAAATCAGATAAGAGGAGAAACCAAGATGGCGGCCTAACTGCAGCCTCACACAATTTCAAAAAAAAAAAAAAAAATACAACTGAAAAAAATAATCAATGGAAAAAATATCCTCAGGTGAGGAGAAAAAAAAAAGACAGGGCGTCAATGGGGGGAAAAAGGACATGTGTAATACTTTCAACAATAAAGATAAATTTAAAAAGGACAGAAAGCATACTTGCATAGATTCAAACTCTCTCTCCCAAGGTATCTATTTATTACAAAGGGAAGGAGTAATTTTACAATGAAGTAACCATGCAAACACCATCTTTGTTTTTGTTTTTTTTAATATTTTATTGATTTTTTTTACAGAGAGTTAGAAATATCGATCAGCTGCCTCCTGCACACCTTCTACTGGGGATGTGCCCACAACCAAGGTACATGCTCTTGATTGAAATCGAACCTGGGACCTTTCAATCCATAGGCCAATGCTCTATTCACTGAGCCAAACCAGTAAATAAACTATTAACATGAATTTAATATGCTGATTTCCTAAGAAATCCACATTTTTAAAATGCAAGAGTTCAGGCACTCTCCCTCCCAGGAGCACACCCGTGCCTTTCTCTTACCCCTTTTCTTTCCCCTCCCCTGACCTGCCAAGGCTTGTGACCACACGCTGGCCAATATGGCCCAATTGGTTGGGCGTCCTCTTGTGTACCAAAGTGTTGCCAGCTCAATTCCTGGTTAGGGCACATAACCAGGTTGTGGGCTTGAACCCCAGTAGGAGGTGCACAAGAGGCAGCCTATCAATATCTCACTCTCACATCAATGTTTCTCTCTCTCCCTCCCTCCCTCCCTCCCTCTCTCTCTCTCTCTCTCTCTCTCTCCCTCCCTCCCTCCCTCCCTCTTTTCCCCTCTCTCTCTAAATAAAATTTAAAAAAAGAAACCTCATTCTAAAGATCTGAAGTAAGCCAAGGTAGAAATAAAGTATCTAAAGTTATGCTCTTGTGTGGTCTTAGAAGGTTCTCTTGATTCCCTCTAGTAGCCTTCCTTATTCCACAAAAATGTACCAAATTAAAGTTCTCTGTGCCAAAGAAAAGCCTTCTGTGTATAATTTGAAATGCTTCAGAGAAAAGCCACTAATAAGTTATCCTAATATATAAAAATCCTGGGTCCGTAATGACTAGTAACGACCGCAGGCTGACCAGACGCCAGGCTAGGGAGCTGAGGGAGCTGGGGCTGTGATCCCCTGGCCGCCGCAGTGGTGGCTGGGAGGAGGGAGCAGTGGGCCCAAATGACCAAAGGACCAGTGCGGCTCTCACAGTGTGACAGGGAGGGACTGCAGAGGCTGAGGAGCCTCGGGGTCAGAGGCAGTGGCAGTGAGCATGGAGCTTTGCAGGGCAGTGAGATGGAGGAGAGGCATGGGGTGGGGGCGGTGAGCATGGAGCTTCGCGGGGCTGCTAAGGCAGAAGAGCATGAGGGGCATGGGCAGCAGAAGCCGGGGAGCCTTGCGGGGTGGGGGCTGTTAACCTGGAGCTTCATGGGGCAGGGGCCACGGAGGTGGAGGAGTGACACTGGACAGCGGACATGGCCTGATTGCAGCTAGGCCTAGGGAACCGGCTCGATTTAATCATGTGCAGGGCTACTAGTTGTAACATAAGTCAGGGTTTCTACTACATTTAAATCACAAAATTCTAGAGGAGAAAAAGACTATCTTTCTAAAAATTAAATAAAAATTTTTAAACACTTCCTAAGTAGATAAAAACTTCATTTTGCTTGTTTTGCTACTCTTGGCTTATAAAGAATGAATGAATAAATGAATGAGTAAATGGTTAAAAGGACTTTACAGACAGCTGATCCTCACAACCAATTGGACTGGAGGTCAGTTCCTCCCAGTGATACCAACAACAATCAAGACTTAACTACAACAAGGCTGTACACACTGTCCACAAAAGGGGGCATCAAAAGTGTCCATCTTGCTGAGACCTGTTTGGCTCAGTGGATAGAGCATCAGCCTGCGGACTGAAAAGTCCCGGGTTTGATTCCAGTCAAGGGCATGTACCTGGGTTGCGGGCACATCCCCAGTAGGAGGTGTGCAAGAGGCAGTTGATTGATGATTCTCTCTCATTGATGTTTCTAACTCTCTATCCCTCTCCTTTCCTCTCTGTAAAAAATCAATTAAAAAAAATAATATATATATATATATATATATATATATATATATATATATTTTTTTTTTTTTTTTTTTTTTTTAAGTGTCCACCTCAGGTAACTGGGAGACTGATCCACTGAACCATATAGGACACCTTAGCACTCAAAGCCACCCTACCAACTCAGGGAAGCAGCGAAAATGCCAAGACAAGGAAACAGATCACAAACAAAAGAAATGCGAGGACAAAAAGCTACTGGATATAGAGTTCAAAACCATGCTTATAAGGTTTTTCAAGAATCTCCTAGAAAAGGCCAATAAAATAAATGAAACCTATGAGGATATGAAAAGAGATCAACTAGAAATAAAAAGGGATCAACTAGAAATAAATTGTCTGAAATAAAAATATTATACAAAGTCCTAAAAACAGAATGGAAGATCGCAAGAATCGCAAAGATTTGGAACATAAAGAGCCAGAAGACACTCCTCCGCAGAAGCAAGAAGACAAGAGAATCCAGAAAGTTGAAGATAATGTAAGAAACCTCTGGGACAACTTCAAGTGAACCAACACCAGAATTATGGGGGTCCCAGAATATGACAGAGAGCAAGATACCAAAAACATATTGAAAGAAATAGTGACAGAAAACTTCCCCCACCTGGTGAAAGAATTAGACTTACAAGTCCAGGAAGCCCACAGAACCCCAAACAAAAGGAATCCAAAGAAGACCACACCAAGACAAATCATAATTAAAATTCCAAGAGCAAAAGATAAAGAGAGAACATTAAAAGCATCAAGAGAAAAGCAGGTAGTTACCTATAAAGGAGCACACATACGACTGTCAGCTGACTTCTCAACAGAAATCATGCAGGCCAGACGAGAATGGCAAGAAATATTCAAGGTGATGAGTAGCAAAAACCTCCAGCCAAAAATACTCTACCCAGCAAAGCTATCACTCAGAATCGAAGGCCAGATAAAGAGCTTCACAAATTTAAAAGAAAGCTAAAGGAGTTCATCACCACCAAACCAGAATTATATGAATTGCTGAAGGGGATTCTTTAGGAAGAGGAAGAAAATAAAGATAAATAAATTATGAACAACAAATATGTAACTATCAACAAGTGAATATAAAAACCAAGGGAATTAAAAAAACCTGATGAACAATATTAACTGGTGAATATAATAGAATCAGAGGTACGGAAGGGGAGTGAACTGATGATTCTCGGGGGGAAATGGGAGTGAGGGGGTGCGGGAAGAGACTGAACATAAATTGTACACCTATGGATGAGGACAATGAGGGGTGGGGGAAGGGCAGAGGGTGGGGTGGGAACCTGGTGGAGGGGAGCAATGGAGGGGGGAAAAATGAGGAAGAAAAAAAAAGGACATTACAAATAGCAATTTCAGTACATAACTTGAGTATAACTCTTAGACACTTACAGTATTAGAGTGAGTGAATGTGAGGCACTCTAATACATTCAGTCATCAAAAAAATACTCTTTTATGTTTTACATAAAATCTATTATGAGGCCTGGAAAATATATTGGTACATCCTACAATGATTTCAAACAAGGCTGGTCCTATAGGTTTCCTGGCTAACCCTCTGTTAATTAGGATACACCATTCTCATAAAAACAATAATTAGTTACAGTTTTACATTATTTTCTTTAAATTTTTATTTAAAAGACAAATACCAAAATACTTTCAGTATTAATAACTCTAAAGATAATGAACAGGTTAAAAGGAAAACTCATGCATACCTTATGTAACTCAGAAGATGAAGTCTTTTTCCTTTTTCCTTCTGTGACAATTTCTACAAAGACATGGTAAAAGTTATCATTTAATATCTAAATAAGACAAACAATATAATAAAAAATCCTTTCACAGCCATCCTTTGCTTTAAACTAACTTCTTGATAGATTTAGAATTTATATTTATACATTTTACAGAACCTGATGAACTAAAAACACAACGGTCAAAAAATAATAAAAAGAGTAGCAGATTCTCACAAAATATCTCCATTAAACATTTTGTGAGAATCTGCCGAAACCGGTTTGGCTCAGCGTCGGTCTGCGGACTGAAGAGTCCCGGGTTCGATTCTGGACAAGGGCATGTACATTGGTTGCGGGCACATTCCTGGTGGGGGGTGTGCAGGAGGCAGCTGATCAATGTGTCTCTCTCATCGATGTTTCTAGCTCTCTATCCCTTTCCCTTCCTCTCTGTGAAAAATAAATAAAATTTTTTAAAAAAAAATTTTTGTGAGAATCTGTACGATAACAATTTTTTTTTTTAAATAAAGGCAGCCGAAACCGGTTTGGCTCAATGGATAGAGCATCGGCTTGGGGACTGAAGGGTCTCGGGTTCGATTCCGGTCAAGGGCATGTACCTTGGTTGCGGGCATATCCCCAGTAGGGGGTGTGCAAGAGGCAGCTGATCGATGACTCTCTCTCATCGATGTTTCTAACTCTCTATCTCTCTCCCTTCCTCTCTGTACAAAATCAATAAAATATATTAATAAATAAATAAATAAAAATTAAAAATAAAGGCAAACTTGGGTCTAAGAACTAAATTCCCTGTCAAAAGTCCTAACATCTGCTCTAGCCAGTTTGGCTCAGTGGAGAGTGTTGGCCTGGGGACTGAAGGGTCCTGGGTTAAATTCCTGGTACCTTGGTTGCAGGCATGTCTCCAGTAGGGGTTGTGAAGGAGGCGGCTGATCGATGTTTCTTTTTTTTTCTTATTTTTTAATGTTTTTTATTAATTTTTTACAAAGAGGAAGAGAAAGGGATAGAGAGTTAGAAACATCGACGTGAGAGAAACATCCATCAGCTGCCTCTTGCACACCCCCTACTAGGGATGTGCCCGCAACCAAGGTACATGCCCTTGACCGCAATCGAATTTGGGACCCTTCAGTCTGCAGGCCAACACTATCCACTGAGCTAAACCGGTTTCGGCTATCATGTTATTATTTACTTATTAGTCAATTTATATATTATTTTCATATACATTTTACTAATTTTCTTTCATCTTTGACACTTCTATTATAAAGGACAAATAGCAATATTAAAATGCCTTGTATTTTAATTTTATAATACTATATTATATATACTATTATGACATGTAATTTTTTGCAATAATGTAATTACTGCACCAATCTTTCTTATAATTAATTTCCTTTCAATGTTCACGAATCTGTGCACTGGGCCACTAGTTTTTAAATAAATGATCAGAGGGGAAGGGCACTGTGAGGCTGGGAAGAGATTAAGAAAGAAACCTCATAGACAAGTGTAGTGATTACCAGAAGGAAAAGAGAGTTAAGGGATGTTAAAGAGGACGCATTGGGGATAAATGGTGAGGAAAGGAAACTTGACTTGGTGTGGTGAACACACAATACAACATACAGATGATGTATTATAGAATCGTACCCCCTGAAACCTACTAGTATATAATTTTATTAACCAATGTTACCCCCATGGACACTGATTTACTTTCCAATCCTCTGCCTTCTATCATCAGGCCTAAGGATCACATTATTCACCACCCCAATAAAGTCAAATAAATAAATGGTAAGAAAGACTTTACCTTACATAAATTCACTTTCTAGTCAATTTTTTTAAATCTTTATTATTGAAAAGTATTACATAGGTCCCCTTTTCGTAGTCAGTTTTATTTTTTTAATTGATTTCAGAGAGGAAGGAAGAGGGAGAGAGAGAAACATCAATGATGACTCATTGATGGGCTGCTCGCTGCATGCCCCCCACCCTCTCGGGAATTGAGCCTGCAATCTGGGCATGTGCCCTGATCAGGAATCGAAATGGCTACCTCTTGGTACATGGGTCAATGCTCAAACACTGAGTCACACCAGCCGGACTCTAGTCTATTTTAAATTTAATACAATTCTGCCGGGACCAGTTTGGCTCAATGGATAGAGCATCGGCTTGGGGACTGAAGGGACCTGGGTTCGATTCCGGTCAAGGGCACGTACCTTGGTTGTGGGCATGTCCCCAGTAGGGGGTGTGCAAGAGGCAACTGATCGATGACTCTCTCTCATCAATGTTTCTAACTCTCTATCTCTCTCCCTTCCTCTCTGTACAAAATCAATAAAATATATTAAAAAAAAAAAAAATACAATTTTGCCAAAACCGGTTTAGCTCAGTGGATAGAACATGGGCCTGAGGCCTGAAGGTCCCAGGTTCAGTTCCGGGTCAAGGACATGTACCTTGGTTGCGGGCACATCCCCAGTAGGGGGTGTGCAGGAGGTAGCTGATCAATGTTTCTCTCTCATCGATGTTTCTAACTATCTATCCCTCTCCCTTACTCTCTGTAAAAAAATCAATAAAATATATTTTTTTAAATAAATAAGTAAAATGGGGACTCAAAAGAACTATTGACCCAGAAAGAAACTCACTACAGACTGATTCATTTGCCTCTCAGCATAACCATTATGGCTTGTCTCAATTTCGGTCCTTCTAAGGGAATTCCTTATATCATATGATCTAACGCATCTAGGGGAAATAATAAACAACATAAATTGATAAACAGAAACAGATCTGGAGACAGAGAAGCATCGATTAGACTGTTAGGCCTCAGAGGGAAGGTAGGGGAGGGGAGGGGTAAAGGAGAGAGATCAACCAAAGGACTTGTGTGCATGCATATAAGCTTAACCAGAGGTCATGGACAACAGGGGGTGGGCATACATGGGGAAGGGTTTGGGATGGGAATGGGGCAATGAGAATAATTATGTGATACCATAATCAATAAAGAAATTAAAAAATAGCCGAAACCGGTTTGGCTCAGTGGTAGAGCATCGGTCTGCGGACTGAAAGGTCCCGGGTTCGATTCCGGTCAAGGGCATGTACCTTGATTGCGGGCATATCCCCAGTAGGGGGTGTGCAGGAGGCAGCTGATCGATGATTCTAACTCTCTATTCCTCTCTCTTCCTCTCCGTAAAACATCAATAAAATATATTTTTTAAAAGAAATTAAAAAATAAATAAAATAAATTTAATACAATTTTTTTCAATATGTTTTTAAAAGGAATATCAATTGCTTAAATTACAATTTATAGATTATTATTCCAAGACTAATTCATTGAGTTAAAAGTGCTTCTATATTGTTTTGTGGCATGTTAACCTATTTCTTTAATTTTAGGTGTTTTTATAATAGAGTTGCTCCATCTTATATTAGGTTGGTTTTTGGATCATTTTAACAAATGTATGATGTGCCTCTTCTTGTAATTAGGTTGGTTTTTAAGCATTTAACAAATACATGATGTGCTTCTTATAGTAAAGCACAGTGCTCAAGAGTACAGATTTTAAAGCCAGACAACCTAAAATTATATCTTGCTTACTAGCTATCACTACTTTAAAACTCGGTTTCTCATCTTTAATACAGGGCAGAGCCCACCACATTTTGGTGTGCAGGACAATACTCCAATCAAGCTATGTCAGCCAGCCTCCTAAATTAATGAGGACGCACATTAGTCTTACCCATCTGGGAGGCAGGTAAGACAACAAAGTGCCAGTCTAGATCTCTGGGGCTACTCAATCCTTCCCATAACCCAGTGGTCAGCAAACTCATTAGTCAACACAGCCAAATATCAACAGTACAACGATTGGCATTTCTTTTGAGAGCCAAATTTTTTAAACTTAAACTTCTAACTCCACTTCTTCAAAATAGACTCGCCCAGGCCATGGTATTTTGTGGAAGAGCCACACTCAAGGGGCCAAAGAGCCGCATGTGGCTCGAGAGCTGCAGTTTGCAGACCCATTTCCTGTGTTACCGTAGCCACTGGTTTACTTTCCAATCCTCTGTCTTCTATCATCAGGCCTAGGGATCACAGTATTCACCACCCCAGACACCAGTCTCTACAGCCTTGCATCTCTTAATGTATTCAACTCTACCCTTTCATCTACCTTCCTCTATCTCTTCTCTAGCCCGTTAAATTCCTTTCCAGAGTAATACAATTCCCTTAAATTCTGAATCTTCTTGAACATTTCCTCCACCTTAGTTTAACTGAAACCTAGATTTTTATTGACTAGACTATTTTTTTAATATTTTATTGTTTTTTTATAGAGAGGAAGGGAGAGAGATAGAGAGTTAGAAACATCGATGAGAGAGAAACATCGATCAGCTGCCTCTTGCGCACCCTCCACTGGGAATGTGCCCGCAACCGAGGTACATGCCCTTGACCGGAATCGAACCTGGGACCCTTCAGACCACAGGCTGACGCTCTATCCACTGAGCCAAACCGGTTTAGACTGTTTTTTAAGACACTCTCTCAAGAAGCTTTTTTCCCACTTACAAAATTATAAGTTAACAATTTACTCCCCCAATCTCCACTTCCAATGAATATTCTGTCTTTATTGCAATGATTCCTATTTTTATTCCCATAAATTAGATATAATTCTTTACTCATACTTGTGATCTCCACATACTGAACCAAGACCAACTCTCTAACATTCCAAGAATATTTTGATCCTTGATTCATAATTTTCCTATCATTACAATCTACCATCATTCTGAATCTCTAACACATCTATTAATCAACTCAGTCAACACAAAGGACTGACCTTAATTTACTCTAACAAACTTCCTCTACATGTCCCCATTTCAGAAACATACTCTCATGAATGGATTTAAGGAATAGTGTTGTACCTTTCAAGTTCTCAAATGAGAACCTCTAATTCTACAACATACTGTCCTCTGACCCTTCCATTTCCTCACTCACACTAAACCCATTTTTGCCCCCACATCTTGTCATACCCTTTAACCCTAATTAAAACTAAATTCACTGGGGATAGCTGGGGAGAAGTCAATGGGGGGGAAAGAAGACTTATGTAAAATAAGAAGACTTATGTAAAACAATAAAGAATTTTTTTTAAACTTTCACTTTTCTTCCAAATTCCTCTTCCTAGACTACTTAGCACTGCTGAAGAAAGACACATAATTACAAGAACTGCAGCTATTACTATTACACATTCAAACTTGTTTTAACAAAGATGTTTAAGTTACTTAATAGTTCATAATATTTACCCCTAATTGACCTCTTACTCTATTTTGAGCTCCCAATACTTGAAAGTCTCTTTCTCAAAAGATGATTTTGCTCCCTATTTCTCGAGGTCCTCAAGCATGTCAAACTCACGGCCAGCGGCATGCCCCATTTAAATAAGAGGTGTACATCCTGCTGGCCAGGAGTTTTGACATGCTTGCATGAAACTGGGGAAGGAGGGAAGTTTAAAAATCAAGCAAGTTTGAAAACCACTGCATGCTCAGTCACCTCTTGGAGAAGCACAATGTATATATAATAGCATAGCAAACACCCTGTAAAATCCTGAAATAAATCGTTTTCTTGTCAAACATAATTGTCCATGGAGTCTCCTTTTTCCCAGGTAGGCTCACTAATGTCCTGTGACAGTAGAAGAGGTTGAAATTATACATTTGAGGTCAGGAAGACCAGACTTTGATTCCTGGCTCTGCTTCTTACTGTTGCTTATAGGTTGCTTACCCTCCCTAAGTCCCAGTCTGCTTATCTGTAAATTAGAATTAATAACTATCTTATAAGACATTAGAAAGAATGAAAGTTTTGTAAAATTTTTAATACACTGCTTAGTACCTAAGTACTAAAAAAAATTTTTAATTTAAAAAAACCATATATAGCCCTGGCTAGGTAGCTTAGTTGGTTAGAGTGTCATCCCAATAAGTCAAGGTTGTGTGCTCCATATCTCAAGGCACATACAAGAAGCAACCAATGAATGAATAAATAAGTGGAACAACCAATCTATGTTTCTTTCTCTCTCTCCCCACTAAAAAATAAAAATAAAAACATGTACACTTAATTCAAAAAAGAATGAACAAATGAAGAATGTTGTCTGAAGCAACAAGTTGAAAACCTGAAGTTTAAACTTTCCTGTTTTAATTCAAAAACCCATTTATGAATTGTTTTGTAACTCTAATATATGTTTACATTTTTTTGTTGTTTTTAAATGGTCATTCTTCCTTGAATGATCGATGAATTTAATTATTATTTCATTCAACTGTCAGGAAACCTGTCTCTGGTGTCAAATTATTTTTTAATCTGTCCCCAACTAATTTACTGCTTTTGGTACACTGTGAACTTGGAAATAATAGTTTTTGCAATAATTCTTTTTTGCTTATGAATAATTTTAAAATATAGATTCAATGTACTCTGAAGAAAAGCTTGAGAAAATTCTCATGAGCGGATTTTAAACAGGGTAATAACTACCCCTCAAGTTGTGTTAGGAAGGACACAAATGACATCACATGAACAGTGTGCATTTTCCTAATGTATCCATTTTATTTGTAGGTTTTAGGGGAGGAAGAAAGTACTTTAAAACAAATACTATGATCTATTGGAGGCATACACACTTTTCTCTATATCCATATATGTATTTTCATATGCAAAGAATATCTCTAAAATACACACACACACACACACACACACACACACACACACACACGACAATACTGGTTGCTTATGAAAGGAATTTCAGATTTTCAACTGCTTCAGGCAATGTCCCAGCGATCTGGGTTCACTCTCCATTGCAGTTAAGAACAGGGGGGGAAAAAAAGTTTTGAGATACACTGCCACCAAGCCATTCTTAAATACATTTGGAATCGTTAAGGCCGTCTCTGCAAAAATAAAAGGTAGAATAAAAAAAAAGAGAAAACGAAACAAAATAACTGATTCATCAGATATTAGTTTGCGTTGTAGTACCCAAGACTGAAGATAGTCATTCACACCATGAAGCATCATCCCAGGCCAGGTAGCTCAGTTCCTCAAACAGTCAAGATTGAGGGTTCAATACCCAATCAGGTCGGGGAACATACAATAAACAACCAATTAACACAGAAATAAATGCAAAACAAAAAAAATCGCTTTCTCCTCTCTCAAAGATAAACAAACCGTAAAGCAACTTCAAAAACAAAGACATGCTGGGAATAAAATCACACGACTTTTTCATCGCTTTTAGGAGCAAGAAGAGCCTGGAAAGTAAGGCTACTTAAGCGGGCCAGTGCAGAAGGACAACGTGTTGCAGCATTCATCTGAAGAATTAAGAGTCAATGGCTACATATTTACAAGGCACCAACCCTTTCTCACCTTTAACACGAATTAAGCAAATCAATGAAAAGCATATCAAGATCCTCCCACTCCCCCCCCCCAAAAAAAAAACTGTAGTATAAATATATACTTCAGTTCAGTCCAATTATTGAAAGTTTGGCCTGGGAAGAGTAAAATAGTCCAGATCGTTCTTAAAATATAGAAACTGTAAACATTCAATAGCTGCCTTTAGGATTGTTGTATTGTGCAAAAGTTATTATTACTGGGTACAGGAATCAAATTGGCAAGAACAAACTATATGAAACTCTGTAAGAAGCTGCTATACTTCTGTGATACCAAAGCAAAAGAGGGATATTCTACTGAGATAAAAATGTCATGCTAATCTTTGTGGTGTGTTCTGATGTGTGCATTAACTTTATTAAAAAAAAGAATACCTGAGGTATCAAGCTAAAAAAAGAAAAAGTCCATGGCCAGCCCCGCGCCGCTCCACTCCCGCAGCCGCTGCAGCCCACTAGGAAGGAAGAAGCAGAAGAAAGACCCGAGGAACCGAGGGAAGCGGCGCGCGGCGAAACGAAACTGGAACCCGGGAGGAAGGACGGGGAAGGCGTGGCAGGACCGCGGCCAGCCGACGGGGATCTGCGGGCGCTGAGGCTGCTGCAGGGAGCTCCCGACCCGAGGCAGGAATGAAAGGGCGTCAGGGGGAAGCTCGGTGACAGCTCGGAGCCGGTGTAGGACCCGCCGGGGCGCGGGCGACCTCGGGGTCTTCCATTGTGCGCGCCCCTCCGCTCCCTCCCGTCCCCTCCCCTCCCTCCCTCCCTCCCTCCTCGCCCCCGCCGAGCGGGAGCCTCCGGGCCGCAGCCCCACTGCCGGGCCTCCCCGCCGCCCCGGGAGGAGATAATCCGCTCAGCCCTCCCCCAGCCGGTCCTCACCCGGAGAAGATCGGCGCCGCCCGGCCTTCCTCCTGTCCATCTTCTCCGCCCGCGGCTGTAGTCGCAGTTGCAGCGGCTGTCACCTCAAGACCCCTCCGCTGGGGGAGGGGGAAAGGGGAGGGGGGGGGAAACAGGAAAGTGTCCACCGCGCTTGCGCAAGAGTCGGCGTGTGCCCTCAGACCGGAAGTCATCCGTGCCTCCCACCTCCACCCGGAAGTTACTTCCCAGACTGTTTTCTTTGCGCTTTTTGTGTTGTTTGTTTTTTGTTTTGTTTTGTTTTGGTGGGGATGGGGCAGGGGAATTGTTTTTTGGTGTAATATTTTAGTGGCGTGTTTTTTTTTTTCAGGTGTCTGCCCTAGCAATAAAGTAAGACTGAGAAGTGGGGTTTGTTTGGTTTTTTTTAAATATATTTTATTGATTTTTTTACAGAGAGGAAGGGAAAGAGAGAGCTAGAAACATCGATGAGAGAGAAGCATAAAGCATAGAACAGCTGCCTCCTGCACACCCCTCACTGGGGATGTGCCTGCAACCAAGGTACATGCCCTTGACCGGAATCTAACCTGGGACCTTTCAGTCTGCAGGTTGATGGCTCTATCCACTGAGCCAAACAGGTTTCAGCAAGGTGTGAAGTTTTAACCCGAGATCTTCAAAGTGCTTTGCCAACTGGAAAACTACCATGGCTGAAAATCTGGAGAGGAACATTTGAGTTCCTGTTCCCTGGCCAGCTCCCTGGTGTATGCTTGGCTCAAATAAAGGCTTATAAAAATTCTTACAAAAGCTGTGGCTGGCTTGGCTCAGTGGATAGAGCTCTCGGCTGGAGACTGAAGGGTCCAGGTTCAATTCCAATCAAGGGCACATGCCTGGGTTGCACGCTCAATCCCCAGTAGGGGGCGTGCAGATGACAGCTGATCAATGATTCTCAATTTCCTTCTCTGAAATCAATAAAAACTTTTTTAAAAATAATTCTCACACGAAGTAAAAAAAGAAAAAAGTGGGAAACTAGGAATTCTACTGGTTCACGAGATCCCGTGATGTAGTGAAAAAAAAGTTAATCCTTTTGCAGTTTTACTTTCCTCTGGATCTCGCCTATGCCTTGGTCCTCACTGTGCTTCCTCAAACAAAAAGATCTAGCAATTGATTTAGCAGTTTGAGTGGAAATAAAGGACGCTGGTTGAGGGGCGGGGGGAGTCAGTGGATCTCTTTAAAATTCAAGCTTCTTATTTTTTAAATATATTTTATTGATTTTTTACTGAGAGGGAGAGAGAGAGAGTTAGAAACATCAATCAGTTGCCTCCTGCACCCGCAACCAAGGTACATGCCCTTGACCAGAATTGAACCTGAGACCCTTGAGTCCGCAGGCTGACGCTCTATCTACTGAGCCAAACCGGTTTTGGCTCAAGCTCCTTATTTTTATTTTTATTTTTATTTTTTTATTAATTTCTTTATTGATTAAGATATCACATATTTGTCCTCAACCAATCCTCCCCCACTCATGCCTCCATCCCCTTATTGTCCTTGACCACTGGTTAGGCTCATATGTGTGCACATAAGTCCTTTGGTTGATCTCTCCCTTTTATCCCCACCCTCCCTTTGAGGTCCAACAGTCTGACCCATGGCTCCTTATCTCTGGGTCTGTTCATGTTCAACAGTCTATGTTGTTCACCATTTCCCCTAGATGAATGAGATCATGTCCTACTGGAAATATAAGAATCAAAAATGAGACAGGTAATAATCGTTATGCTGAAAGAAATATGAATCAGTCAGTAGTGAGCTTCTTTCTGGGCCACCAGTTCTTTTGAGACCCAATTTCAATGTCAAACAGTTCCTTATGCGTGCATGTCAGCAATGATATTTCAGTTCTGGATGGTGGGCAAAATGCAGGTCCAACCCTCTCTGGTTTGGTCCTGGGCAACCTGCAGGGATACACAGCTGCTGACTGCTATTATGGTAAAGCGTCATCAGCGACTTCCATCTCTGGACTGCTTCTCTTCTGTCTTCATGGTTGGAGTAGTCCTTTCAATTCCTCTCTGTTGCCAGAATCCACATGGTCTTGGAGTTGTTTTCTGAAAATATATAAACATATTCTCGACCAAAAGGTAATAAAGGAATATTTTCTATAAATTTGACTTGGGGTCCTTTTTTATTTTTTGCCCAAATGAGTTTCCTCTGGCTTGTTTTGACACCATGTAAGTTTTTCATGGGTGTCTTGCTGATAGCATTACAATTAATTTTCTAAAGTACAAATTTTCTAGATGTAATTTACTTTAAGGATATTTAAAGGATATTTCCCCATACCATGTTTACAAGAAGCTCCTTATTTTTAAGGGGGGGGGGGGGGAGAAGGGTAGTACTGAACATCAATTTTTTAAAACATAAAGTGCTGAAATGATAGAAAGTGGGTGGATGTAAACGAATTCGTTCAATAACTTTCATTACTGTACTGAAAGGCATAGCCTTGTCCTCAATGAACTCAACTTACAGACTGATTATTTTTTATCCTTTCAAAGAACTCATCAGTTTAGATTATTGACCTATTTGGCTGTAATGTACATATTTGAATAATGTTTTTTTATGTATAAGTTTTAATAGCAATAGCTTTATCAAAATTCAGCAAAGCACTCTACTCAGCAGCAAAATAATTATATTTGCACTGCTCCCAGCTAGAAGTAACCCTGGAGATACTTGAGTTTAATGGCAGCTTCTTTCTCCCCTTTGTTCCCAGCTCACCACTAGAGCCCAGTCTCTGGCTTCTTGAGTCTGCGCGGAGGGAGAGCTAAGCCTCCAGGTGCCAGGCCTGTTGGGCTGGGGGCAGTGCCTTACTGAGCTGGAATGACTGAAAAGCAGCAATACTTAAGGGGTGACTGAGGTTGAAATTCCCTACAGGTTTTCATTCAGAGGCCCTCGGTTTGTTTAACAAATAACTTTGCTTACTGAAAAATATCTGAGTTTTAAGTTTACTCATGAACCAACCTTTTTCAATAATTTAACGCAAGACTAAACCGACTTAATTAGCCAGTTTTATAGGCAACAAGTTAACTGCAAAGATGGAAATAGAGCAGAGAGATGGAAACATAAAAAAGGAAAGTGTAAGTACATAAAAAAGGAAAGTGTAAGTATGCCTAATCCGTTTCCCCCAAAACTAGCAGCTTCCATGAACAGTGGTTTTAAAGTTTAGCAGTAAGAAGTAAACTTATGAGAAATGGAATTATAAGTTAATAAAATTATTCAGCTAGCAAATATATTCAAATTTGTCACTTCTGCTAAAAAAAAAGACTTAGTGAGCCAGTTTGTTTCTTTGAATTGGAGCTTATTTTGAATGACTTATTTGAGGATAAATGACCTTTAAGCTCAAGAATTTCAAAAAATAAGAGGAAAAGACAATAACACCTCTTTTAACCAATATTTGTATTGTTTTAGCTTTACCAATCTACTGCATAATTGACTGTATTGCAAACAACTAAATTGCCAAAAAGCTCAGTTTCTACTTTTGAAGGAGTCATTTAACAACCTCATTTTGCCTTTTATGGAAGATTAATTAAAGAATGTTTTACAGTGTTTTATGATGTTCAGTGGAAAGCTTCCTAATTTAAAAATATGAACAAAGACCCCCAAAAGTGATGCTTTTCCTTAGTGTATTTGGGGGTCATGTCATTTCTTTTATGTACAATTGACTCACACCGTATAGAGCCTTCTTTTAAAAAATGTATTGCTTTTTTTAGAAAAGGAGCGAAACATCGAGTCGTTCCACTTATTTATGCATTCATTAGCTGCTTCTTGACTAGAGATTGAACCCACAAACTTGGAGTATTGGGACAACACTCTACCCAGACAGAGCTAGAGCCTTGCCAATTAAAATATTTTGTTTTGTTGGTTTTATTTTGTTGGTTTTTTTAATCCTTACCCAAGGATATTTTTCTTTTGATTTTTAGAGAGAGTGGAAGAGAGAGGGAAAGATAGAAATATCAATATGAGAGAAATACATCAATTGGTTGCCTCCTGCTTGCACCCTGACCAGGGCCCCAGTTGTGCCGGGCCAGGGAGGAGCAGAGGAGCCTGCAACCGGGGTCCAGTTCTGCCCTTGACCAGAATCAAACCCAGGACCCTTTGGTCTGCAGGCTGATCGAAGCTCTGTCCAATGTGCCAACTGGCTAGGGCTAAATTAAAATAATTTGAGAGTAGAAGTTCATCAGTCCAACATTTATAAGAGAAAAGACGACAACTGGTTTTATCATAATGGGTATGGTTCTTTATTGAGTGTTATAAGTGCGTATTAAGTATTTAAATTAGCTGTTCATTATATTTTTTAAAAAGCAGTGGGTATAGTCTTAATAGTTTCAAGACCTAGGGGCAATGTGAAATTAATCAACCCTTTATTTTACCCCTTGATTAACAGTTTCTTTGAAGAGAAATTAATGAAATCTACAAAAACCCCTTTCTTATCACAAGTGAATTAACTTTAATCCTTACTGGAGGATATGCTTTCATTGATCTTTGAGAGAGAGCCAGAGAGAGGGAGAGAGAGAAAGAGTCTTGGAGTAATGTTTCATGATGCTATTCACCTCATCTGCACTAGTAATTGATTCTTATCTTTAAAATATTGAGAATTTTTATGTGAAGGAAGTTTTTCTTCCACAGATAAAGTAATGTGATTAAAGATAAAGATTGGTTGTTTAGTTTTTCAGGTTACCTTCATTTTTATTAAATTTATTGGGGTGGTATTGATTAATAGATCATATAGGTTTCAATTATACATTTCTATGATACGTGATCTGTATTTGACTTTGGGTGGTGGGAACACAACTTTCCTTTTAAGGCAATCAATAAATTGCAACTTAAATGGAATAGCCTGTCTCCAGGAGTTATGAAAACCTGCAGTAACTCAGGATATTTGAGCAGCAGGTGGGTAATCCTTTGTCCGGGAAGCAAAGGGAGGAATAGTGTATGTGTCTGCAGTGGTTGGGGTGTGTCTGGCTGACGATAGCCCCTGGACAGACAGTCCTCTGCACCGCTCCCCCCTTCCTGTCTTGCTTGTAGGAATGAATTCAAAGGAGATAGCAAATAGCAAAAGAAGCGAGGATTTATTTTTAGGAAAGAAATACATTCAGAACCTAAGTGGGCAAATTAACCTGCTGAAACTAAACCAAGTGCTATG